TCAGTTTTCATTCCAATCCCAAAAAAGGCAATGCCAAAGAATGCTCAAACTACTATACAACTGTACTCATCTCGCATGCTAGTAAAGTAATACTCAAAATTCTCCAAGCCAGGTTTTACCAATACGTGAACCGTGAACTTCCAGATGTTCAAACTGGTTTTAGAAAAGGCAGAGGAACCAGAGATCAAATTGCCAACATCTGTTGGATCATTGAAATAGCAAGAGAGTTCCAGAAAAACATCTATTTCTGTTTTATCAACTATGCCAAAGCCTTTGACTGTGTGAATCACAACAAACTGTGGGAAATTCCGAAAGAGATGGGAATACCAGACCACCTGACCTACCTCTTGAGAAATCTGTATGCAGGTCAGGGAGCAACAGTTATAACTGGACATGGAACAACAGACTGGTTCCAAATAGGAAAAGGAGTATGTCAAGGCTGTACATTGTCACCCTGCTTATTTAACTTATATGCAGAGTACATCATGAGAAACGCTGGGCTGGATGAAGCACAAGTTGGAATCAAGATTGCCTGGAGAAATATCAATAACTTCAGATATGCAGATGATACCACCCTTATGGCAGAAAGTGAAGAAGAGCTAAAGAGCTTCTTGATGAAAGTGAAAGAGGAGAGTGAAAAAGTTGGCTTAAAACTCAACATTCAGAAAACTAAGATCATGGCATCTGGTCCCATCACTTCATGGCAAGTAGATGGAGAAACAGTGGAAACGGTGGCAGACTTTATTTTTCTGGGCTCCAAAATCACTGCAGATGGTAACTGCAGCCATGAAATTAAAAGACACTTACTCCTTGGAAGGAAAGTTATGACCAACCTAGACAGCATATTAAAAAGCAGAGACATTACTTTGCCAACAAAGGTCCATCTAGTCAAGGCTATGGTTTTTCCAGTAGACATGTATGGATGTGAGAGTTGGACTATAAAGAAAGCTGAGTGCCAAAGAATTGATGCTTTTGAACTGCGGTGTTGGAGAAGACTCTTGAGAGTCCCTTGGACTACAAGGAGATCCAACCAGTCCCTCCTAAAGGAGATCAGTCCTGGGTGTTCATTGGAAGGACTGATGCTGAAGCTGAAACTCCAATACTTTGGCCACCTGATGGGAAGAGCTGACTCATTTGAAAAGACCCTGATGCTGGGAAAGATTGAAGACAGGAGGAGAAGGGGATGACAGAGGATGAGATGGCTGGATGGCATTACCGACTCAATGGACATGAGTTTGAGTAAACTCCGGGAGTTGGTGATGGACAGGCAGGCCTGGCGTGCTGCGGTTCATGGGGTCACAAAGAGTCGGACATGACTGAGCAACTGAACTGAACTGAACTGATATATACATATATATAATAGAATTAATAGTATTGGAAAATGGTTCTGGTGTAGGGAGTCGGGGAGAAGATGTGGGTTAAGACCACCCTCAGGTTTTTCTTGAATAGTGATGTCATTAACAATAATAGGGAATATAGGGAAGTTGGGGTTTTGAGGGAGGAAGGGTAAATAAGTATAACTTAAGCCCACTAAGGTTGAGATGACTGTGGGACACAGGGTTGAAGGTGTCTAGAAGGCAATTATATATATATATATATATATAGTTATCACAGCTGGAAGGGCTGATGGGGATGGAGATACAAATTCAGAAGTCACAGGAATAGCTGAAGCCACTCAGGAAGTATGTATAGAGGACGGAGAAAAGGAAATGAGATGGAAATTTCAAGTATGGTTAAGGGCAGATTTTGGGAGCAAGGAAGAATGGAAAAAGAGAAGAAACGTCAAAAAGTCAAGAGGACTCAAGACACCCTGGTGAATGGCCAATTCCAGGGCTGAGGGAGGGAAAGTACAAGATGAGCCTGGAACATCTTGTGTCCAAAAGCAAGGGAATGTTCAAAGAATGCTGGGGACAAATCCAAAGGATACAGGAGCCAACTTGAAGTTTCTTCCATTAGACAAATCTGTGACAAATTCAACATCAAAACACATAAGAAGAAAGGATTGTAATCCACCGGGGGAAACAAATCTCTGTCAAGGCCGATATAAGTAAATAAATGGGAGTGGGTCTGAGCCCTAAACCAGAAACTGGCAACATGTGTCCATTGGATTTCAGAATCACTAGGAACTAGTAACTGCTGTGTGTGCAGTCTGTTTTTCTTCTTTTTGAAATGATAATGTCCATAGCAATTATCCTATGTCTGTGCCACTAGTATATGCTGGCACATATACTTCACAGGTTTTCAAATCAAGGGGACTGGTACTCAAGGAGTGATACCAAGAATTGGACCTGAAGAGCCAAACCCACACTGAGCCCTGAGTTAGATGATGAGATCCTAGACTTCAAGTTGGTGCTGTCATGGAATGAGACGTGGGGGTCTTGAGGTAAGTGATGAGTGTATTTTGCATTGAGCGGGGTGTTAATTCTTGTCATTAGATGGTAGGGTGTGGCAGATGGCATTTTCCAAAGATGATTCAACAATATCTCTCATCCACATGCTCTTATTATGTGACTTGGACATTGCTTCCATTGAGAGGTAGGGTTTATGTTCCCTTTCTTTATTATTAGATAGATATGGTAGAAGTGATGTCTGAGGCTAGGTTATAAGAAGGGATGCAGCTTATCTCTCACTATAATATTCACCCTTGAAACCTACAGCTACCAAATATGTAGCGAGAAAGCCAGCTCCGAGACAATATAGAGAGGGTTGTCTAGCCAGCCCCCTGTAGTTTAAGTTCCAGCCGCCATCTGGACTGTAACCACCCAGCTGAGCCCTTCCTGAATTCCCATCCCACACAAACAGAGATAATGAAATGGTTGTTGTTTTAAACTCCTAAATTAAAGTGATTTGTTTTTCAGCAATGGATAACTGGCACATGGGGAAAATGTGGAGAATCTGGGTGAAGGGTACACAGAAACTGTAGAATGGTCCTTTATGTCACGTGTGATGAATGGGTGGAGTTACTAGAATCACAATCTCTTCTCAGGATTACTCACGGCCATCTGTACCACCCAAGTCCACATCTACAACCATAGAGATGAGCTGGAACTTCAGAATGGAGAAACAAAATAAACTGACTGAAAATTTCCCCTTTGTCTTTGTGGCACCCAGACACCCTTTAGATACAGCTAGGAACAGCTTCAAGTCTGCAACTCTGTGGCTAGGAAAAAGTTTTCTCTTTCTAGAACATTTTCCTGTCCTAATGCCCTGATTTGTCCTGGGAATTACCCTCTACAAGAAACCCTCTCCTTTCTGAGAATTGCCTTGGATAGGCGGAGACAGTCTTGACTCACCATATGTTGTGTCTCTCTCTTTTACTACTCACTTTGTAGTCGGCTGCCTTCTCCTTCTCCCCTGAGAAAATGGACTTAGTCAGAGTGCTTTGACACCCATAGTCCTGGGGTGGAATCTCTGGGAGTTATACAGGGAGACTCAGAAAAGAATGCTTGCCTATGAATTCTTACTTCTGAGTCATTCGAAGAAAATGCAGCATGTCAATAAGCCCAGCAGAATCCAATGATCTTCACCAAGAGTGCTCAACTTCAGCTGGGTTAGGAATGGCAGAATAGTAAGGCATGAAGAGCCTGCACTGATTATAGAGGGTGATGAGAGTCATTGAGGAGGTCAGTACTGTGTGAGAAAAGCTATTTAGTGGAAACATTAGGGAGGGTGTAGAAGGGAGACTAGCTACAGGTGAGAAACCAGGAAATAGAGAATGCCAGTTCAATTAATAGATGACTGGAGCTTTGGCACAAAGATGAAGAGCAAAAGGAGTGAGAAAGGAGTGTAATGGTAGCAGTAGAACTTAAAGATCAAATATGTGTAGGACTTCCCTGGTGGTCCAGTGGTTAAGATTCTGCCCTTTCACTGGAGGGGACATGGATTTGATTCCTAGTTAGGTAAATTCTGCATGCCACAAGGTGTGGCCAAAAAAAAAAAAAAAAAGACTAAATATGTGTAAAGATAAGGAAAATGTTGATGGAGACTCTGAGGCAGTTAGGCCAGAGAAAGTAAGAAATAATTTTTAAGTTTTATAATCTTTTGATTCCTTTCACCCATTTATTTGGGGTCAAAGAAAATCTTTGAAGAAACTTCGAAGAAAACCTTTGTCTTCACTTGATCCAATTCCATAAACACTTATTGTTTGTTTCACATTCAGTGCTAGATGCTGAGGGAGCAGGTGAATAAGACAGAATTCCTGCCCACAAGGGGCACATAGTCTGATTGAAGAGACACATGCAAATGAAGGTCAACACTATAAGATGTGTGTCATGAAAGGAGGTATGTACAAAATGCATACAGAGGTGACCTTAAGATACCCATGGGAGTCAGGGCTGAGCGAGGGAGACCCAGAAGTAATTTGCACAAAGAGAACCAAGCTGAGGACATCACAAACAGGTGAGCATAGGGAGCCTGGGGCAGAGCACTGGAGGACAATGATAGTAGGTGTGGACAGGAAGAAGGATCTAGAAGAACTGGGGAGATCCACAAAAACTGACCTAGAACAGGGAATTTAGGAACACCAATGAATATATCAGAGGGAGCTAGTTATGAGGGGGTAGAATCTAAACCAGCTAGTAGGCAAGATGAAGAAACAGGATTCGTTTTTACAAATGCATTGGGAGAGAGACAATAAGCTTGGTAAAAGAAAGAAAGAAAGAAAAAGAAAAAAAACGTGTGCATAGACGATTTTGCTAGCTCCGTTTGGGGGTAAAAGTACTGACTTTCTGGTACGAGACGGAAAGGAATGTTTAACACAAGTAAAGGAAAATTGAATTTGGATATTAGAGTAACACACTGCTATTGAAAAGCATAAACCAAGAGAGGAAAGAAAACCCAACCTTAGCACTCTCGTGTCGCTGAAAAAGAAGAAATATTCTCTTTCTCCTTTGCAGTAGCCGTGAGACAGATAAGAATCCGTCATCTGGCTACTATGGAATCAGGTTTAAGTGCTTGTTCCTTCTGTCCTCAGTTAGGGCGAAGGAATTGTTACCCTGTTGCTAAGGAAAAAGGAAGGGGCTGTTCCCGGTTGCCATGGTGACAAGGTGAGCGCGTTCCCTCGATACCGCCGTAAATTTATGAGACAGTGGCCTCTCCTTGTTGCTGTGGCAACTTAGAAGGGCTGTTCTCGTCGCCCCCCACCCCCCCACCCCACCTCCCGTCGCCGTGGCTAAGACAAGGTGGAGGTACGGGCTCTCCTTCCTTCGCCAACCAGTTGCCTTGGAGACGGCGGGTGCCCTGGCCCCGCCCCGCTCGGACTGACAGCGGTGGCCGCATCGCGCCTGCGCAGTGCTCTCTTCCCCCGCAGTCTGTGCGTTGAAGCCGGAGACCGCGGCGGCCTCTACTAGGACCCTCCGCCCCGGAGCCGCCGGCCGGAGCCGCAGCCTCAGCCGCAGCGTCCCCCCCTCCCACCGCCTGCCCCCCTCCCCCGCCGCCTCTGCCGGAGCCACCTCGCGCACTGTGAGTCCGGGCCGAGGCGACCGACGCCGTGGGGCTGAGTCAGCGGGAGGCCCGGGCCCGGGCTGGGGGAGGGGAACCGAGCTGCCCCCTTCGCCTCCCGAACCGCGCCCCCGCGCCCCCCAACCGCATCTCCCCCACGCCCGCGCCTCCCTTCCTCCATTCCACTCCCCCGGGCTCCCCGTGGCCTCGGCGGTCAGGCCTCCCCTTTTCTCCCTCCAGACCCACCTGGGGGTTTCTTCACCGCGAGATGCGGCGCTACCGCACCTCCGCTCTGGACAGATTCCGCCCCCCCCCCCCCCCCCCAAAAACACTGCCTCCCGCTCGCCCTTGTCCCTTCTCCTTACTCCTCTTGGGCCTGACATCTCCGGCCTCCCCGGTTTTCCCGTGATATGCCAGAAAAAGAGTGACAAGGGAGGGCAGACTTGGGGGAGGAGGGGACGTTGTGCCTGCCCAAACCTCGGGGCCTCAGGTTTCCTACCCACACGCTCCTGCCCCGGCTGGCGTGGGGAGGCAGGTCTGGACAGTTCTCACTAGCTGCTGATTGCGTGTGGGGCTTTCCGGCCCCATCACCGTGATCAGCTACTGTTCAGTGAACACCCGCCGGTGCACGGTGGCCTTCCAGTGGGCTGAGCTCTGGCTTTGGCGGGCGCGGTTGAGAGGGACTGGAGGGAGGGGGGAGAAAGGTTGCGTTTGGGAGCTGAAGTTCCTGCGCTTCCAGTGTGATGTTGTGAATAAGCATCTTGCAGTACTCTAAAATGCTTTCCCTCACTTCACCGGCCCCCACGCCCCCGCAGTACAACCTGGTGTAATAATGGGAGGTTTGGAAACAGGCCTGATAGCCATAGCAAGTGCTTACTGTTTGTATGTTGAAGGGTTGTGGCAGGACTTGATCTTTAATACCTGTAACTTCCAAGGGGTAGCCAACTGGGTGAGTGAGTCTGAGTTTTCAGGTAAGGTGCAGAGCTGACAAGGAGGAAGAAAACTGAGGCTTCTCGCTGGTATTGGTCTGAGGCTTGCACCCCCTGCTTGCTGCAGCTGTGAGTCTCTCTGGGGGCTGTCACCTGATAGGGGTTCTAGCATATGTGAACAATTCCTCGGGGTTATGTTTGCTACCCATCCACCTGCCCATCATGCATTCCCTGATCTTGGAACAGAGGAGGAGCCCAAATTGTTTTCTTTTCCGGGAGAAATAGGGCTGAAGTCAGAGTTGGTGCCCATAGCCAAAAGCTCTTAATCAACGTGCCTCAACTCGAAGGCTAACTACTTACTGTGTGTACCTCATTGTCAACTTCCTTTGATTCTTTTTTTTTTTTTTGGCTTTCAGATCTTAGTGTACTGTCAGAAACTATGTCTAAATATCAGCCAGTTAAACTGTAGAAGCAGCTCAGGTTTTATTGACTTCAGGCTCAAAAAGAGTAGATGGTTCGGTTCTAAAAATCATGCCGAAGGACACACAGATTTGGAGTTTCTGGCTTGCAAACAGTGAGGAATAACAATTTAGCTCCTTGACTTTGCTCAATCATGGCCTATTGGCAGCCTCCTCAGAGCCACTCCCCACCCCCATGCCCATCAGATTAGTTTACAGTAGCAAGGACGGCTGTTGCCCTAGTTTTAAACATAGAGATGAAGTTCAGGAAGACTACTGCCTCCATGTAGCAGTGCAGTTTCTTCTGTTTCAAATGCCAGTCTGGGGTTTGGCGGGATGCACCTGCCTGTGGGCCGATGGGAACCATGGGGCCTGAGCGTTAACATTCCTTCTGTGTGGTCCGCTCTCTGTCGCATAGCTCACCGAAATACCCGGGCAGGGCCGGAGCAGACAGCTGTGCTGGAGAGCTGCTCCTCCTGGGTTGAGTGTATTTTGGGAATCAGCGATATTTACTGGGGTGGAGGGTGGTGAACTAAGAAGCAAGAAAATGTGTCAAGGCTAGATAGATCTGGAGGGTGTGAGTAAAATGTTCCCTTTGCAATTTGCCGTGGGATAGGACATTTTCAGAGCATCCCAGTGGTTTTTATATGGGTTAATTTGCCTTTGAAATCCATACCAGCATTTTATGAGATAATGATGGAATGCCTTTTAAACTACTGCTCTTGGGAAACTAAAATACCGATGTCTTATATGTTGCCTATTCAGTTGTCACTGAGTGTAATTGTTAGGATCATGGAGAGGGACATGATTTGAAACAAATTAGACCTAAGTCTGTGTGGTCTGTATTTTACTTTTACAGCACTACATTTCCTTGATTCTAAGACACACTGCCAATTTACCAGCAGCTTTTAGGTAAATTCATTTAACACTACCAGATCAAAATATATATGTTGAATTTAAGGTGCATCCTAATTTCAGAAACATTAAAATATCCGGGAAGTGGCAAGACTTGAAAGGAAGGATTTGCATGTCTTAGAACCGAGAATGATATTTATAATATTCCTGGGTATGTGATTGTCCTGAGAATGCATGCATTGTGAGGAAAGATTTCCTTAAGTCCTTTCTGTAAGCCCACCTACTTTTTGGAGTTATGTGTGTAAGATGATTGACTGAAGTTAGGCATGGCAGTTAGCTGTTGAACAGAAGAAAGTTCCTATGTAGGAATCTAAGGCAAGGCCTCCATATAGTACCCTCCAGAAGCTGAGCCAACTAGCTGGCAGCAAACATCTTATGAGCTATACCTGAAATAGCCAAGTAACATCTCTCAGAAGCTGAACAGAAAGTGTAATTTTTCTGAGCCAGAATCATCTGATTTGTTTACAGATACATTTGTAAAGATCCTAAGAAACATGTCCTCCTCCCATAGGACATTAGAAGTAGAGAGGACTTCAGATGATTCAGTATTCTCATTTCCAGATTTTGACATGGGACACCAAGAGTTAGTGATTTGCCTGAGGTCACCCAACTAATATAAAAAGTATGTGAAAACACTTTGTCAACTGTATAAAAGCATGCAAATTAACATTAGTAGTTATTAGTGGCTGAGTCAGGATTAGCACCCAGATTGCCAGTCTAGGGCTATTCTTCAATGCCATGTTACCGCATCCCTCATTTTTAATATTCCAGAGGGTTTTAATAAAAGTAATTTAGTAGTCTGTAATTAGCCCTGTTGACAAGGGCTTGTTTTATTGTCTGAGGCATTGCAGAGCCGGGTGAAATTGAGTGTGACACTGTCTAATTAAATATTTATTCTTACCACCTTAAAAATAATTTTTCCTCACACATTTCCACTTCAAGAAAGTTTTTCCTTCCTTAAATTTGCATCATTTAACATAAAGCAAACGCAAAGATGGGTATCCAAAGTCGTCTCAGCTTCTTATCCATGAGGCTACTGATGTATTCCAGGAAACAAGGTGGAGAGGGCTGAAAGGGGGCAGAGAGGAGGCACAAACTGGATTATCTTCCAGCTCCCAGAATGTAACCTTCTGTGGTTCCTGGAAGCCGTAGAAATTTCTAGTCCCTGGCTTCCTTAGTGGCTCAGTGGTAAAGAACCCACCTCCCAATGCAGGAGATTCTGGTCAGTCCCTGGGTCGGGAAGACCCTCCAGAGAAGGAAATGGCACACTCCAGTACTCTTGCCTGGAAAATCCCATGAACAGAGGAGCCTGGCAGGCTGCAGTCCATGAGGTCACAAAGAGTTGGACATGACTTAGTGATGAAACAACACCATTCTTGAGAAAGCAAGACGGTCTGGCCTCTGGAAGCAGACAAACCTGAGTTCAAGTCCCAGTCCCACCACTTCCTGGCCGTGTGGCCTTAGGTGAGTTACGGAACCTGAGTGCCAGTATTTTCACCTACAAGCCTGAAATGATAACCATCTGTTTTACAGGGTGAGGATTAAATGAAAGGAAGTATGTAGAGTACCTGCTTAATAAAGGATAGCAACCCCCCGTTTATATTACTAAAGTATAAAATAAAAAATAATGGTTTCAAAATTTTATCAGGACCCAAGTCCATCTTGGACCCTCAATTGAGCAACCCCCGTCTCCCAGCAGCCCTGTCGGTTTGTTTGACATGCACAGAGGGCTTTATCCTGTGAAGACCTGGCACTTGCAGTGTTATTTCAACTGCCAAAATAGGAGTATATGAACTGCCCCTTTGTCTCCATGTATTCAGCTGACCTGGTTATCTGAAAGGCTGGCATGGTGGGAGCAGTTGAGGAGGAGAGCACAGACTTGGTGTGTTTGTGTGTGTTGTGGGGGCGGTTAGTCCTCCGTTGGGGAGGCCAGTCTGGGGAGGGATCTTAATTTGAAATGAAAAAGCTGCTGAGCTGTCCCTGGTGAGTGAAGCTCGCAGTGGCCTTCATTCAGTTCCTCTGCTCTTAGAGGCTTTGCTTTCATTAGTAACTGTGCTCTGATCAGCTCTGCATCTGGGAGACATGGAGAGCCAGGGAGAGGAACAATCCCTCTTTGGAGGGAAACCTCCTTGCTAGTGAGGAGAGTAAAGAGAGGTCATTTGGGGTGGCACCAGTTCCAGATAGAGTCAACCACATAATTAGGGAGCTGGGACAAGCCATTCAGTCTTTTTAAATTCCTAAAAAGTCTCATTTGGAAAGAAAATACTCCTAAATAGGCACGTAAAGACTGAAAATTTAAACACAATAGTTTTTACCTCCAGAAAATGGAATTTGAGAGTGGAGGAGTGAAAAGGAGACTCAAGGGAGAACTTCTTCTTTTTTCATATATAATTCTATATGTGAATTCTATGTATATGTGATTTCTCCTTTTTTCATGTATAATTCTATATGTGAATTGTTATAAGAAGCAGGTGTGCTTTTGTATTGAGGATGGGAGGAGAAGGGAGTGATAGAGGATGAGGTGGTTGGGTGGCATCACCAACTCAATGGACTGGAGTTTGAGAGATAGTGAAGGACAGGGAAGGAAGCCTGGCATACTGTAGTCCATGGGGTTGCAAAGAGTCGGACACGACTTAGTGACTGAACAATGAACAACAAAATGCTTTTGTGATTTAATGAAGACCAATAGGGTTGGTAGTGGTTGTTTTCCAGAAATCACATTTTGGTGCGCAAGAAGCAGATGCCTTTACTTGGAGCCGGCACTGCTTGGGGTGGATAGGGTTAGACTACTTCCTTCCAACAGGCTGAGCTGTTTGTACCAAACCAGGGTTAGGAAGATCCGCTGGAGAAGGCATAGGCTACCCACTCCAGTGTTCTTGGGCTCCCCTGGTGGCTCAGCTGGTAAAAAATCCGCCTGCGATGCAGGAAACGTGGGTTCAATCCTTGAGTTGGGAAGATCCCCTGGAGAAAGGAAAGGCTACCCACTCCAGTATTCTGGCCTGGGGAATTCCATGGACGGTATAGTCCATGGGGTCACACAGAGTCAGACACGACTGAGCGACTTTCACTTTCAGACTTGTA